AAACCAAAAATAAAAAAACAATCAGCAGTTTTTTTCCTTTCCATTTTAATTAAACGGACATCATTACCTTCGCAGCTGATTTTTATTGCCAAGATTTTACGGTCGGGTTTTCTTCTGGTGGGCTACATACCATGGACCGCTGTGTGGTTTCTGGATCGTACTTCCAGATCCAACATTCGTCACCAGTGATGACTTTACACTAGTTGCTGCACTTACTATTTTCGAATTCTGTGCGCCATTTGTTTCTTCTTATTGTTGTTTGGCGCCAATTGGAAATACCAAGTACAGCCAGGTCCTTCTTTACCTGGTCTTCCCAACGGAGTGGATGTCTTCCTCGTCCTCTGCTTCCACCGGCGGGTACTGCATCGAAAACTTTCGAAGCTGGAATATTCACATCCATCCGGACCACATGACCTAGCCAGCATAGCCGCTCCTTCTTGATTTGCTGAACTATATCAATTGCGCCGAATAACTCGTACAGCTCATAATTCCATTCTCAACCTGTTCATACTCACGCATATCGGCCTCTTTCTTTTTTTTCTGCAGATGCGTCTTGCTTCCCTCTTCATCTCTCGGTATTTATCCCACGTGTTGTGGTCGATCGCAGGGTTGCGAGGTAGGTAGTCTGTTTTCTTTTCACTGCGACACAGCGGTCCTCATCATAATAACTGTTTTTGCGACCTTTACGAAATCCAATAGTTTCGTTTACAGCTGTGCGTAGGGAGCTTGAAATGCCGTCCCACAATTCCCGTATACCGAGTTGCTGATGGGTGGTGGAGTGCAAGTCGAACAGAAAATCATTCGGCAGTCTGTTGTGATTGCAGCGTTCTTCGATACACAGAGTCGATGTTGGGTCCACGGCAAATCAGCGATATATTGAGTCTCTCTCGCACTACAAATCCAACACCAAATTTGCGCTTCTTTATATTGCCACTGTAGTAGATGTCACAAGAACTTACTCGCTTTCATCCTTGTCCCGTCCATCGCACTTTTTGGACGCCAATGATGTCTAGTTCTACTTATATATATTCCATAATTTATTTTACTAGTTATACTAAATGTTGCACAGAGACGACATCCTGATTCAAAAAGCATCAATTCCATTGGTTTGAAAGATTTTTTCTCCTCACTTTTTTTTGAAAATTTTAATTAGAACCCTATCTAGCAAGTACCAATCCCACTTATGGATTGCGAGATAGATACAGCTAAAACCATCTATTGCAAAAATATTGGATTAATAATTACTATCGCAAATATATAAATACGCTTATTTCTTGGTTCTTGGGAAGGTTTGTAAAAAAACAAGAAAAAAAAGATGTCTCCGGCCATGCAAAGTATTTAAACAGGTTTATCATTTACAAAAATATATAATTTATTTTTTATAGAACCTTGGCATTAAATGTATATAAAAAACTACACAATTCAAATCAACGCCTATGTTAAGCTGGAAAACCCTTAAGCCGCCAGAAAGCATTGAAATATCGGTGTGAATGCGTAATGGTTCATGGGACAGAAAGGATAAAAAAAGGCTAAAAAGCTAAAACTCAAATCTGCTATTTAACATTGGCTTTTAAACAAGAGGTATGGAATTATTCTTACTAATAAAGTCCTCTTTTGTAAAGCAACAATTCAACCGATATGGATGTATGGAATTCAAAACTTGAGCGTTTTAGTTGGGCTTATTGATGTCGAAGCAGATTCAATATATAAATATTAATGTTAAAAAAGAATTAATTTTATCAAGGCTTGTTTTTAAGTGCTAAAAAATGATTTGTTTATGCTCATAATTGATATCGCCAAGAAGAGAAATTAAGCAGCCAGGAAATTCTTTCACAATAAAACCAAATTCGCTCGTGTTGCGTACAAAGTTGGTGGGTGAGCTGGACGTGGAAGATTCGATTTGGAAACTTTTCAACTTCTGTAGTGATATTTGAGGTAGAGCTAGCAAAATGATGATGCAAAGGTGTAACATTATCTGTTACCTATTCAGTCTCTTCTAATGTCTTTATAATTTATCGCCGGAGTATAAAGTAATTGGACGAATATGTTCTTTTAAAGCATGAAACGTGACTAAGTTTGAAGCACCATTTTTAGAATTAAGTTTAAAGAATTGTGATACCTTGAGCGCTTGTCAAATGATATATTTTCATAAATGCCTGACTTTTAACTAAAACGAAACATGTTTGGTTTTACAGATGTCAAAACACAGCTCTGTGCTTTTGAAACTACGAAATACGTGACCCTTTCATGATCAAATCAAATTTCTTTTTATGATGAATTCCTCATTACAGAAAAATTGGTTAGATAGGGCGATATTACTGGTTTCAATATTGTTTCTTTGTATAAACTTACATAAAATACCAAGTTTAACACTCTTATATGCTCTTTTGGCGTATTTCTGTTCCGAAATCTCATATTTGAACAAATCGGCAGTATGAAGGCTACATGTTCTAGCCCTCCGATTACAATGATTTTCGGTGTCAATGTTTATTTGTAGATAGAAATGAATAATACCAAATTCTGCTGTATATGATCTATTCAAAAAAAATATATATTGTTCGATTATTTTAAAACTTACTCAGATTAGAGAAAACACCATTTTTTCTTCCGGGAAGTGGATCACGGACCGTCCTTTCAAAAAAAAGTACAGCTTTTGTAATCCGTTTTTCATTAACTTTTTTTTTCTAGGAAAATAACTGATCTATTTTAGGAAGCATAGTTACTTGTATTTGGATTTGGATATTAATAAATGGAACACTTTTGTTTCACGGAAATGTACCAGGGACCTGGATCAAAGTTTCATAAGCCAATCTTTCTCTATGGTAAAAGGATCACAGGGATATTGACAAAAAATAGTTTGATTAGGTATCTTCCTAACGCCATGTTTTTACACTGCGGCTACTAGGCAACCTTATGTGCATTTAATAAATTTTTACTAAAATAAAAGATTTTAAAGTTTTTATTAAACAATCGAATTTATTTGAATAAAATAATATGCCTGAATTTTACTATTAGCATTCCTTTCATTGCGAATACAAAGTATTATTTAATACCGCAGTTAGTAAAAGTCCACTTTTGCTAAAGTACCTTTTTGAACTGAGGCAGCGCTTTGTAGTATAACGTGATTATGCACCGAGATGCCAATCAATCTCTTATCAACAGCAGCTCTGTGTTCTTTTATTTGCTTTTAAAAGATAATAACGATTCAATTATTGTAGAATTGGTAGACGTGGAGCTGACGTGTAACATTGCTAGCATAATAGGGATTGTTGTAATTTTAAATTTTTCTTTGTGCCTGCAATTGGCTTCGCTTCTCTGCCTTGCAAATAGGCCATTGGTTAGCATAGTCAATTTCAGCAAAATCTCACGGCCGCATACATGTGTGTTACCTGTGCTCTAAAATCGTAAGTACCGAGTAAATGAGTTACCATAGTAGAAGAAAATACTCAGAAAATGCACAAGTATGTAATACAAAAATATAAAAGCATTACAACCCCCCGGAGTACAATGATATATTTTGCAAGGAGTTTTTTTGGTATTGTAGAAAATGCGCAGACATGCGTAGTAGCTTTTGTGCTGTGAAATGAAAACATTTTGTGCTCGGAGTAGAAGGAGCAAAACTTCATTCCTTGATGCTGACTGGTTGGCTAAGTTATTGTATAATGTTATTGAATTCTTAAACAGTTGGTGAGCATTTCTGAAGATTTCAATCAAGCCCTAGATAAGCGTGTTTGATTACTAATCCTCGAACATAATTTTAAATATTTAAATGGAGAATTTACTTATAAAAAAGAGATATTGAAAACAGGAATATATATTATATACTAAATTATTTTATTAAATTGTATTAAAAACTATGGACTAATTTTTATGACTTTTCCACTTTTCAACATTTTTTTCTGCGCTGGGAAGTTGCATTTTGGCAAAAAAAATACAAATCAGTCTTTCCTAATATGATATTAAATTATTATATATTTAACTGTTTAAGATTTGAAATTTCAATCTGGTGATCCTTTGATGATGCCTGAGTTTATATTGAATCATTATACATCTGATGATCACGAAATGTTATGTTAATTTTGATACGGATTATGCAACTACCTTTTGGAGAGGATAGAGACTCGGAATGACGAGTTGAGTTATTTTAGCCACGTCTGTTTGTACCCAAACTAGACCCTAAGTTTTCGAGATATTTCAATTGAACCAGAAGTTTAGTGTTACATTTAAACGACCACATAACTACTATAGCATATATATAACCAATTTTGGATCATAAACTTGATATACTTGTACTATACACATAGTCCGGCCTGTCCTTCACATCAGACCGATCGCTACATTTCTCTCTTGCAAAAGACAACTACAGAATGGCTTTTTATTTTAGGAAAAAGGAGAACGAAAGTAATGAATTATTTCTCGAAATATAAATGGGCTATTGATAACAACTCTCATCAATTTATCAGATTGAGCGACCTCTGTAATAAGGGAGATTTTAATTTGTATGCTAATATAAATTCTTTAACTCCAATATAAATAAAAATACCCGACTTCTTACCAAACTATGAAGAAGTTCGAATAGCAATCGTTCGGTTAGAAAACAACAAAGTGGCGGGGGCCGATGGATTACCGGCTGAGCTATTCAAATACGCCGGTGAAAAACTGATAAGGTGCATGCATTACTTTCTCTGCAAAATTTGGTCGGATAAAAGCCAACCGCCGCTTATGGTTGGAGTCTAACAGCGGCATTCAGTAGTTTTATGCAGTCACTAATTCACAAATTGATTTTTGGGACCATAGTATCAGTTGCAATTTAGTACGGAAAGTAACAACGCTCAGCTGATAGCGACCATTGCTGGAGATGCGCACAAGCACTCAACGAAAATATTCGAATTTTTTCAGCTACAAATATAAGTAAGTAATTTAGTATTTAATTTATATATTTACATTAATAGATATTTTTTTCCATTTTTTATATATTGAGTATAAGAACCAATAAGGAACATATCGAATGAAACCCGAAGGCAAATGGGCTTGTTTTCGAGATGTGTCCAACGAAACAGAACATTGAAGGGCATATTAGAATTAAAAATTTACTTAAACATTCTAATAGCGCAGAAAATCGTTTGGAGCTTTTAAATCTTTATGATGATGCTGATGGTAGTCTATTGGAGTCTCACTCATTAAAGTGCACTTATTTTTTGCATGCTATAAAGGTAATTGTTGAGATTATAACATACGATTTTTGTTTTATTAGAATAGAAATTTCTTATTTTACTTTTTTATTTCAGGTAGCATCAAAATTACAGATCTCGAGTTGGGCAGATTTGTACAATTTGTATAGTCTTCAAAAGGATCGACACACCACCTCTTCATCGACTTTAAAACAGCCTTCGACACCACGTAAAGGAGCTAGTTCTACGACGGTATGTCTAAAGTTGGTAACAAAGCAAAACTTATATGGCTGTGGCGAGACGTTCAACCAGATGGTATTCTACGACGGAGTCTCTTTCCCTCTACATATACGACACCAAATTTGCGCTGCTTCATATAGCCACTGTAGTAAATCTAACAAGAACATGCTCGCTTTCGCCCTTGCTCTGTCCATCGCACTTCTTGGACGGTGGTGATGTCAGCCCTTGGTTTAGCAAGGATACCAACCATCGTAAGGCGGTCGCTCATCCGGGGCAAGTTAAAATTTTTCTTTAGGGTGTTTTCTATTTGGCGGGTAACAACCTCGCTGGGCGAGTGGACACTTAAACCGAGTAAGTCGGAATAACCGTAACCTAAGGCTCCACACGGTTTAGTTACCGCATCTTGCACAAGGGTTACTTACGTTCCCAGCGTGCACGTCGTAGACGCAATAGTAGGAATTGAGTATAGCCTCGCAACTAAAACAGCATACCCAGAAGCTTAACAACACCCCAAGTTTAATTATTTAATTAATTTTACTTAAAACAATAAACAATCTTCTCATATACAATTATATATATTCTAACTCAAACAATATCGGTGCATGCCCATTAAAAACATTTATAGAAATTTAAGCTCTCATACAGTTCTTCTTCTTCTTCATCCGATCCGTTTCCTCCCTTTTTTAGGTCAGTTGAAGTTACCAAATACTAATGAATGTTTTCGCTTTGATACAGATTGTCGGTAGCCATTTATGCACCGAACTGAATGTCAGTATTCGGCGACGGTGTTTTATCTCACCAGGACTCACCTTTTTCTGTCCTTATCCTATTCATTGCACTTTTGCACGTCAGTGTTATCAGCTTTTAGTCTTAGGAGGTCATCAGCCAGCTGGTTAGCGACCACTTTCAAATTAAAGGACTGTATATTTCAGAAGTATTCCCTGAAATCTTGATCATTACAACATTTGCGGTCGTCTCATGCGAGGCATATTTAAATTTTTATTGGAGTATAATTTGCACATGGTGGATCCTTAACCCCATGTCCAACCGAAAAACCACCTCCAAAGCTGATGCATAGTCCGGCAACGGACTAGGGTAATTGGTGAAGACATGAGTAATGTGATGTGATTAGAAAAAAACTCTTTTTAACGCATCTGCTTGATTAATTTAAAGTTAAGTGCTTTTGCATTTAATTATTACCTAAGCAAATTGAATAATTATAAATTCATGATAATGAAATGAATGCCTTCAAATTTTACTGATTTATGAAAAATTCTATATTAGGTTTGCTTATTGAGCTATTTTATGTTACGCCTGGTTACTGTAGTTGAAAAAATTGTGTTTCATGAACGTTTTTTTGCTCTTATTTGCACTAATCTTTGTTTCATGGGTCTGCTCTACGAAGATTTTTTCCTCTGCTTTTTTGGTAGAGTAACTTGGAGCAAGCAATATGATTTTTTTTATTGTGAACGGGATGTTCGTGGGCCACAATAAGCAACTTAAATACAAGTGACAATAAAAATTATAAATTTTATTAAATGATATATGAAAAATTTGTAAAAATTTTCTATTTTGGTTACAACGTGAAATTCAAACATTCACATTTGAAAATTGTTGCCCTAAAATGTTTCATGAAGTTCTTGCTTCGAGTTACTCTATTGTTTTTTTGGCAGCTGCTCTGTTCTGCTCGAACTTGGGCGGCTCTACTCTATTTTCAGTCCCAATAAACAAACCTATTCAAAGAAATATAATTATAATAATAATAATAATAATAATAATATATAATAATAATATATAATAATAATATATAATAATATATTTCAGTTTGAAATTTTTCATTGAGAAAATAACCAAATTTACAAAATGACGGACGGATTGCATTACAACTTCAACTTTTATCCGCAATTTCATAATATAGGAAATACTTAATGCATTTGAGCGTTACAAAGTTAGATCAAAGCCATTGGCATTTCTGTGAAATATTCAATTGAGGCAATATAACCTAATAAAATAACTAACAAACAATAATAAAAAAAGGAAATAACAAATTGTACAATATATAGCATGCACATAGCGCAGCCACCGCAGAAATGACAACTATTCTGATTTGATTCGTTTCTTGCAGTCAATTGAGTGAAAATATTCTCAGAGGCCGAGGACTACAACGCAATATAAGTAAATCCAATAAAATGCTGCCAGCAAACAGATGCAGTAGTTGGTTGGAAGTTTGAGTCGTTGTGTGTAGTATTTGCCTGTGATTTAAAATTTTTTGCTGAGAGTTGATGTCGGTTGTTCTTGTTTTGAGCATTGCTTTTTATTCTAAGAGCAGGATAATAAATTTCAAGTACACATTATTCAATAGAAAATGAAATTTAACAAAAAAAAACAGATATCGTCGAAAGAAAAATTCTTAGAAAATGAGAAAAGAACTAAATCATGGAAAACATTAAATTCAGTGATATCGACAATTCATAGTATATGAGAATATCACCGCAAGAATGTATACTTCAAACGAAATTCTCTAGATTGAAAGAACCTTATTCGCAACATTTAACACTTTCCAGGCTTGCTAAAAGAAAAATCGAAAAAGTTTAGCTGCTTTTATTAAATATACTAAACAAACTAAATAAATAAATAAACAAATATTATTTACAATAGATGATTTTAGAGCGTTATATACGTCCGATTGAATAAACCCTAATGGCTTTAGAAATATGATATCTTGCATTAAAAAGGGAAAGGTGTTATTCACATCAATTAATAGTGTTTGAGCGCAAAAATAAAATACCCTGGAATGGTGCATAGTGATTATGGTCTTTAAACTGTAACAATCTGCAATCTGCACAAAAATGCTTGTTTAAGCGCCAGTGGGAAAACGTAGAATGCATTCAGGTTCAGCACCAGGCTTGCTGCTAAGAATTTTATTTACCCAATGCCGTAGGGAACATCTGACGCTGCGCAGACGCCAATCGCTAACACGTCGAGGGAGCATGGATGGGAAGACGGTACCCGCCGGTGTAAGGAGATAGTCAGATATCTGATCTGGATCTTAAGAAGGTAAAATCCATTGCAAAAAAAAGCAATTAGCCACCTCCAAAAGTAATGCAAAAGTCGCTGCTGAATCGTAAAAAAATCGGCCATGTTTTGAAGTGTATGGCGACTGGTAGTGGATAATTTACAGTACCGACAAATGAAAGCGTGGTCGTCTCCAAGCTAAGATTGACAGCCAGGAAGGCTTTATTGTGAACTTGGTGGACTTGGAAAGAAACATCCACTATGAGCTGTTTTTCTTCAACCAAACTTTTAATTCAACTCCCTGAAGAAATCACTCGCCCAGAAGCGTCTAACTTAAACTAACGGGTGGAGAGTTTTATTTTATCTGGACAAGGCCATACAATACACATCGATAGTGACTCGCTCTTAGTCTGGCCCTCGCAGTAGGGGATATCATCTGTTACTCTCTATGGCGCGTGATTAAGAACCAAATAAGTGCACAGTTATAAGTGCTTTTCAGATTTTTGGTAAATAAAGTTTTAGATTCTTGTGGAGAAATATATAAAACACCATGATACCGCAAGCTTAACAAACTAGAGAAGCTGTCGTCCCATGACGTCACAGAACAAAAAAAAAACCACCATATTGCGAAACGGACCAAAAAATCGAAAAAAGTCCGCCGAAAACCTTTAAGAGAGATAAAAAGAAAGTGGAAACATTACCAGTATCTGCAAAAAAAAACTCTCCATTTTCTTATAAAACCCCACATTCCTAATGGAGGGTCAAGAGCACTCATAGTGAAAGATATTAGAAAGAAAGATGTTATAAACTATTGTTTTCATGTGCTTTGTTCTCCAATTACTTACTTTCATACTTTACTGGCGTAGACACCGCTTCCGCGATTATAGCCGAATTTTTAGTTTTGCGAGATTCGTTTTTTTTTCTGCTGTTTGGCGCCAATTGGAGATACTAAGTACAGTCAGGTACCTTTCTAGCTGGACTTTTCAACAGAGTGGAGATATTTCTCTTCCTCTGCTTCCACCGGCGGGTACCTTTCTCTCGAAAAATCCCTACACCGTCACATCAGATATTGTCATCGTCCATGCTTCCGCACTATATAGCAGAACCTGAACGATAAGCGACTTAAAGAGTTTGGTTTTCGTTTGTCGAGAGAATACTTTAAAATGCCTACTCAGTCCGAAGTAGAGCCTATTGGCAAGAGTTACTCAGTGCTGGATTTCCAGGCTGACGACGTTGTTGGTGCTTATACTGGTTCAAAGTTATTATTATTTTTCTAGCAGACGAACCTTCAGTTAATCCTTAGCCGCCTGGGAACGGCTGATTAATTTTTACATGTAGCTTTACTACATGGCATCCGCTTAGGGGCGACCGTAATTTGAAAAATTATTTTTTCATAGTTTTAAATATAAGTCGAATGAGATGAGATGAAAAGTTTAACAACCTTTTTCATAAATTTTGCCTGATCGGAATTAATATTCTCACAATTAACCTATAAAAAATAGTCAAGCCAATAAACTGTTCTCACTGTGCATACACCGTACAAGAATAAGTAGCAGCTGGGAACAGAAATGATACTAGCATAGATTTTCATACACATACTTAGCCTTCTCATAAATTTTAGTATATTAATATTTTTGATACGGCGATATGATCAAAATGCTAATCAATGCATAGTCGCACCAGGGTCATACTAGAAAAATACCAGTTCGTAAATAAATTAAGCGAGAATGAGATTCAAAATCTGAACCTTAGACATGCCAAAGCGTGCATGTGAGGCTAGTGAGCTCATATGACGTATACGTAACCAAGCAGGTCGGCGTGAAGAAAATTATAATTACTTGTTAAGAGTTGACTGCATCGCTCTAACTGTTAGTCTCTCCAAAAATCATATCACATATGGCTTGAGTTGGGTGTTTGGATTTGCCAACCAAGATCGCCGCTAAAAATTTTTATTTATACCGGAACAGGTTAACAAAAACGAAATTGAAGCACACTAACTGTTCACTACAGCAAACAGTATCGTTTACAGCGATTTATATTGGAAACCAAAAGGGGCAAATGCTGCAAATGTCATCACGATATGTTGGAGCACTGCAGTGTGTGAATGTCTTAGTGATAATAAAGATAAAGTGGGAAAAGAGGTAAAAATATAGGAATTTACTCCAATATTTTTGTAAAGGTTGAAATGATTTCTGAACTTAAATATTTATATACATACATAATTATATATATTTTCCTTTACTTTGTAGTGTCTATATTAACGCTTTTTCCAACAAAGGGAGGGACAGTACAATTTATAATTAGCCGCCTCCGAGCGGCTGAATGATTTATATGAGGTGCTTTTGTTTAACACTCGATGGGATTGACATATCATGACGATGGTTGACCGAAATTAAAAAGCTTATCCTAATTTTTTTTTAAATAAAATTTCTTTAATATTTGCATGTCAGCTAATTTTTTATA